GCGACGAGGGCGTCGCCCAAATAGGCAGGGGAGAATGTCACGACTCGCTCGATTTTGGCACAAGAAGATCGAGAAATTTAAAATGTTGACGACTTGAGGCTAACCGGAATATTCTAGACTCCCACAAGTGCATGAAGATTGCTAGAATATGGTGGGACATTCTAGAAGCCTACAAGCTCCTCACTTGGTGGATTATTCTAGATCATCCTAGTTTAGTCCATAAATATTTTAATGTAAATATTTGTATAGGTAATTCTAGATGTGTAATCTAGACCATTGGATAGAAAAGATCCTAGCCATCCATTTGAGGAGGCTACTACTATAAATAGCTTGGTAGGATTCATTTGAAGGCATCAAGAGAGTGAAGTTGTAAAGAGTATCCTTATTCAATACAAAGCCTTCTTTGTAAGTTCTTGTGTTCCTTCATTGTCCCTTTCTTAAAGTGTTCTACTTAGTGCCTCTCTAAGACATCAACGCCAATCGGGAGGCTGACTTAGTGTAATAACCGCGGGGGCGGAAGTTGAAGACACTAAGGCCGCACGGTTCTTGAAGGAAATTAGCAAGTCCGTGACATACTGCAGCTCATTAAGGAAGGCATTACCATTGAACACATGCAAGGAATGCAATTGAAGTCAGCTATCAATTAGACAGTTGGATTAGTTGGTTAAGTCCACGTGTCCGTTTTGTATTGATTTGTACAGCTTAAGTTAGATAGAGTTAGTTTGTTGATTTCATTTTCTATTTATACACAATGCATTGTAATATAATGGTACTTTTCTACAATCGAGCTTATTTCTTTCTTCAATTGTTCAATAATGTATCAGAGTACTTTGTGCTTCTATTGTTAGCTTCTTTACAATTCAATTGAAACTCCATTCTTCTTCGATCAAATCACTTTTGATTTGTTATGGCATCGGCAACGAATGCACCAATTCAGAATAATTCCTCATCATCAGTGAACAATTCCGCCATTTCTATACTATGAAACCAGTTAAGAATGCTTGTGTTACTTTGTCAAATCATAAGACAATTCCTATGAACTTCATTGGGATTGTGAAATTTGGCTATAATCTGATACTTGAAGATGTGTTATATGTCCACAATTTAAATTCAACCTGATGTCAATTAGTTCATTAACCAAGGAGTCTTGTATTAATGTCAGATTCTACACTAACACACGAGTTATCCAAGATATGCACAACCAGAAGATGATTGGTGAAGGTAAAAGAATTGCTCGTTTATACATAATAAGTGATTCCTCATCTGATTCAGCATAAGTTAATAGAGGTAACACTTTGTTTGATGATGTTCGTGTCTCCATTTCCTCAACTGCAAATAAAGTGAACGCTCATACCTGGCATTACAGATTAGGTCACTTGTCTTTTCAGAAGTTAGCCTTGTTAAAAGATTAATTGCGTTTAAGTTGTGATAGTACAGAAACAACAATTCAATTCCTTGTAATATCTGTGATACCTGGGGACCTTTTCGCATTCTATCTCACTCTGGATACAAGTATTTTCTTACTTTGATGAATTATTGCACACGTTTCATATGAAACACACACAAATCAGAGGTCAGATTTAAAATTTATCGATTTTTTTTTTCATTCTAGAGGATTCATTCGTCAATTTTCTTGTGTTGAAAGGCTATAACAAAATTCATTTGTTGAGAGAGCACCAGCATTTGCGCAATGTTGCTAGAGCATTGTATTTTCAAGTACAAATTCCTATTCAGTTTTGGAGTGAATATATATTAACTGCAACATATTTCTTATCAACAAAACTCCATCCTCTATTTTACAAAATAAAAGTCCACTCTTCCTCCTATATAACACTCATGTAGACTACAATCACCTTAAAGTGTTTGGAAGTCTATGTTTTGCATCCACTCTACCTTCCAATCAAACAAAGTCTCAACCTAGAGCTTGAGCCTGTGTTTTTGTTGGATACCCTCCAGGAATAAAGGGATATAAACTTTATGATTCTTACTCAAAACTTTCTTCATCTCCAGAGATTTTATTTTTTATGAACATATATTTCCCTTCCAATCTATTTCCCATCATTCTGATATAGTTGATCATTTTCCTGATTTTGTGGTGCCTAGCCTATATTTCCTTCTGAAATACCTTCTTCCACTTTACAATCTAGAATCAACCCCCTTCATATCTCAGAGACTTTTATTATAATCTCCTAACCAATATTCAGCAGTCTCATGATTCTTCACCATATCCATTATCCAAGTATACCTCTTACAAAAAATTTTCCCTTCTCACCGTTACTATCTTTTAACTGTATCATCGAATTTCGAATCTAAATACCATCATCAAGCAGTTCAATATGATCATTGGAGGGATGCTATGGCAGGTGAATTAGATGCCATAGAGATGAATAATACCTGGTCTGTTATAAAATTGCCTGATGGGAAACATTCTATAGGCTGCAGATGGATTTATAAAATAAAAAAATCGAATGGTAGCATAGATAGATACAAAGCAAGCTTGGTGGCAAGGGATATACTTAGCAAGAGGAATTGGATTTCACTGAGGCCTTCTCACCTGTTGCCAAACTTGCTACAGTTAAGGTTCTTCTAGCAATAGCAGCCATTAGTAATTGGCATATCACTCAACTTGATATTAGCAACGGTTTTCTCAATGGAGACCTCTATGAAGAAATATATATGGACTTGCCCTTAGGATATTGAGACTATGCTTGTTCTAAAATTTGGGGGGAATCTGGGTTCCAGACTTCACAAATCAATTTATGGCCTTACGCAAGCATCAAGGCAGTGGTTTTCAAAATTTTCCAATGCTCTTATTGATCATGGTTTTAAGCAATGAAAATTAGAGTATTCATTGTTTACCAAAGGTTCTGGTAGCACCTTTATTGCTCTGTTAGTCTATGTAGATGACATTCTCATCACTGGGTTTAATCAGCATGAAATTAACTCCCTAAAAATCTTCCTGCACAATCAGTTTAAGCTAAAATATCTTGGCTAGTTAAAGTATTTTCTTGGGCTAGAAATAGCAAGGTCACAAAAGGGGTTCTTCATTTCACAACGACAATATATCTGCAATTACTTGAGGATATAGATTTCTAGCATGTAAACCAATTGCATTGCCTATGGATCCTAAACTGAAACTCGGTTCCTTTGAGGGAGAACTCATTGCTGATGCATCCATGTAAAAAAGACTAATTGGTCACCTTCTTTACCTAATTATCTATTGACCTGATATTGATTCGTAGTTCACAAGTTGAGTCAATTTTGTGTCACAACCAATGCAGCCACATTTGGATGCAGCTCATCATCTTTTGCAATATATCAAGGCAACTCCAGGGAAAGGAATTCTATTCTCTGCACAATCTTCATTTCAATTGAGAGCATTTGCAGATGTAGATTGGGGATCTTTTCTTGATACAAGGAAATCGGTCATAGGTTATTGTGTCTTCCTTGTAGACTCTATAATTTCTTGGAAAGGTAATAAGCAAACTACACTATCAGATCTTCAACTGAAGCTGAATATCCTGCATTAGCTTTTACTGCCAGTGAACTAGTTTGGCTTACTCAATTATTTCATGATTTTCGGATTTTAAATGAGGATCTTGCATTAATATTTCGTGATAGTCAAGTGGAGATTCACATTGCTTCATTTCCCATCTTCCACAAAAGTACGATGCACATAGAGGTTGGTTGTCATTTTGTTCGAGATAAGGTGACTGATGGTTCTATCAAGTTATTACCAGTTTGTTCTCATCATCAATTAGCTGACATTTTTACAAAAGCTTTACCAGCATCGCTGTTGTTACTTTTATTATCCAAGATGGTTTGGTTGTTATCAATCCTCACAGTCCATCTTGAAGGGGAGTAACAGATCATATCAAGGCAAGGCAGCTACTGTAGCTCATCAAGGAAGGCAACTCACCATTGAACACGAAGGAATACAACTCGAGCCAGCTATCAGATAGATAGTCAGATTAGTTGGTTAAGTCCACGTGTTCGTCTCGCATTGATTTGTACAACTTGAGTTAGTTTGTTGATTTCATTTTCTATTTATACACAACGCATTGTAATGTACTGGTAATTTTTTGGTGCAATACAATTGAGCTCATTTCATTCTTCAATTCTTCAATAAGATGTTAATTTTTGCTAATTGAGAAATATACAAGGAAAGCATAAAAATTTATTCGTTTAGTCTACTTAGCACGTGATCATGAAAATGCCGCTAAATATAACGACTCGATTAGTAGTCACTAAACACTTTTTTTCTTTTTAGGTTTCTCATATTTAATCCCTCTTAACAAAACAAAAAAATTAAAGAAAGTAACATTTCATTAGAACAGAGAAAAAATTAGATGCGATTTTTATTTTTTTATTTTTTTGGTGTAACATAAAAAATGTGTTTAGTTGATCTGATACCTTTAGCCTATGCATGTACAAAAAATATTATATGATTTAATTATCACAATAATGGTGCACTAGGATTGAAGAAAGGTGTAAAAATGCGTTGGCCAGTGGCTAAAATATTCTTGGGGTCGAATTCCAATTTTCTTTTGGAAAAAAGTGTCCATTTATCCCCAAAATGGTCCATCCATTGTTGCTGTGTGGTATAATGAGGAAGGTATTGTTTGGCTTTGATCCCAGCATCGCTGCAAAATCTTAGGATTCGATTATTTTGATTTGTCAAATGATTGAGTGTCCGTGTCTCGTCCCCATTATCCAGTGCAGACCTCAGAAATGCTACCAAGTAAAAGATGTCTTCATCTGGTGTCACTGTTGAACTCTTTGCAACCCACCTAATAAAAATGCACATTTGATCGCATTAGACAACATGCCACACGAGAAAATTAATGACATAAGCAAAGTATACGAGTTAAAACGATATTTTTTTTAAAGGGAAATCATTATTAAAATTAATTGTACAACATTATGAAAAGTTGGGATTAATTTGCATATTTTAAAGATTGAGGTCCAATTTACTCAAATAATATAACGGGTATGTCATGGATGAGTTTGAGACATTATATAAATGAGATATAAAGAGGGATACATTTCTTACTTTTTTTTGTTCATGGGGTAGATTAGGATTGGACCACTGGTCTTATTCCCCAAAATGCCCTTGAAAACTCCTTTATCGAAGTCACCGATTCTTGATTTGGGTACAAACAGGTTCAGCCATGGGTGAGGCACATCCCACAAGTTCTTGGACCGCAGCTTCAATTCGGCCTTGTGAACCCGGTCCAAGAAATCCACATAAGGAAGATCAGTCGTAAACTCGGAAGATGGTATAAAATTTAATTTCTTCAAAAGAGCCCCAACTTCCTGCAAAAATAACATAAATAAGTCGAAAATTTGTCTATCGTAAAGTTATGTCTTTCTCATGACGACAACTGTTGGAACATTTTCCATGGCTAGAATAACATGTGATTATGCTTTTTGCATGCAAGTCTAGATTACTTAATTATATCTTAAAGTAAATTATTAAGGTCATAATTAATTTAGTTGGTGAATGTTTTAAGTTTGAGTATTTTAATATCTTAATATCTAAAGTACAATAAAGTATACATTTGCCCTTAGACCCTGACTCTTGAGAAAGTGATGAAGTCAGGACTGGAATTCAATAGGATACTTTCTTCTTCTTCTTCTTCTTCTTTTTTTTTTTTTTTTTTTTTTTTTTTTTTTTTTTTTTAAAAATTAAATTAATAATAATTTTTTTTTTTTTTTTTTTTTTTTCTTTTTTTTCTCTCAAACATGAATATAATAATAATTCTTTTTTCCAATTTTGAATAGGGGCCTATAACCTGACTGGCTCCCACTTGGCTCTGTAACTAGTTGCAGATAAAAAAAAGGTTGAATTCCAACTTTGAAGGCCCCAACAGGTCAGGAAACAAGAGCTATCTGTACACTGCATCTACAAGGAATCTAATTCTATGTATCAGGAATCGAACTTCCACACTATGACTGTCAATAAAGCGTGAGATAATCTCACTCATATCCTTTACACCACTTGACTACTTCTCGAGGGGCTAGTTGCAGATAGATTACATAAGATCTTATATGTTTTGTCGTGCATGTTCATTTTCGTCTTTTAATATCTTTTGCTTTCGAAAAACTATTCGTATTAAAAGAGCAAAAGTGATTGCACAATCTAGTAACATGGTCACACTGTACTAAATTAACAATTAAATAAACTTATAATTCCCAAATATTTACGTTCCAAACAAAACAAATAGACAGCCGTTACAGTAGAATCTTCTGATTTTTTAATGTAAGAAGAAAAGGTTAGCTTGCAGAGGATGTTTTAGTGGAATGAGGTCCCCTTTCGCTGTCAAAAATAAGCAGATATTATTTATTTATTTTTTCCCCTTTTTTTGCTGTCTATAGCCATGCATCCCATGTTAAACCGTTGTCTGGCTACTTTACTTCAAATTCATTTTCAATCACATGTTTTATGATATTCACAACTTTTTAATCATATATTTCATCAATTTTTATCGAAATTTGTTAAAAATTATGCAGTGTCAAACATGAGCTAAATAATGTTCGTGGTTATCATGTACTACTCGAACATAGTATATTAAGTGGTGTCCAACAAGCTAGGCTAGGTTAAGAGCAACTTGCGATGATATTCTTACGCACTTAGGATTATCGGGTATGTGGCGGGCCACCTATAGCTATCTTTTATTTCATTTTTCTTGCTCATACGGGCATCTTCGTTATGAAAATAAACTACTCCGCATAATATGATCGATTAAGATTATTACCTCATCTATGGCATTGGAATTGGATTCTTGATAATTCTTGGTAATTTCCAAGCAATACAAGACACCTCCATCAGCATTAAGAGAAGAAATCTTGACAGGGTTGCCTGGGGAGAAAAAAGAGGACCTCCAATTATTTATAAGGCCTTCATCAACAATAACAAAACCTTCGACATAGTCAAACTTTTTCGTGGCTGGTTGTCCATGCAAAGATATTAGATACTCCTGATCTTGCGTAAAAGCCGAAAAATTGGAGTACAACACTCGAATCCATCTCACCTGAATCAAACAATAGAAATAAATGCAAGATTATGAAGACGCAAACATGCTCGTTGGATTATTTGGAGTCTAATTATACTGTTTACTTATCCTATCGACTTTGCTTTGTCCTTTTCTGATTTGAGAGCGGAGAAAAGGGGATATGTCAACAACATTGCCAGCTTTAGGACAGTGGTTTGAATGGGGTTAAAAAGCTAGTTCAAATGGGCCCATAAATTGTTCATTATAAAGTCATGAAATATATGTATTTTGGCTTGCTTTTAATGTATAGTCGTTAGGTTTAGTACTAGGAAAAGTTGTGCAAGGGTATGAGCCCCACACCATAAAGAGAAAAGCTTAAGAAAAAGACAGCATCGATTGAGAATAAAGGTAAAAGTTACCCTGTGGGGGGCTTTTTCAAGTGCAATTCTTGCTCTTGTAATTATGCCAAATTGTCCTAGACCACCAAGAACAGCATGGTACAATTCCGAATTTTGTTTCGGTGTACATGTCAATAGCTCACCCTTCCCTGTACATCGACAATCCAATAAGATATTACAATCACGGTAATTACTTCAAATGAAAACTTCAAAAAAGAGGAAACAAAAGAACTTGTTGAATTATCTACAATTAAACGATCCGTGTAATATATTTTTACGGGTAAGTCTAGTTCACTCTATGGGACAATTCTCTACCTTTTAACCCTAATTAGAACTGCCAACCAAACATTATAGGAGACAAATAAAAGCTTATTGAAAAGCTTTTGAAAAGGATAGAACAGACAAAAATTTTAAAAACAATGTTACAAGTACTTAACTTTTTAACAATCTAATTTTTGGGGCCTTTATAAAGGAAGCAAAAACTATTAAAATACTTTTTCTCAAAAGCATATTTAGGAATGTTTATAAACGTTATAGATTGCAAACAAATAGAAATAAACAGTGGAAAAGTGAGTAGTACTTATAATTCTCTCAAAATATGTGCATAAAAAGTGACTTGAGTATGTTATATGTAGGCTGCGACTTTAAGAAAGATAATATACTAATTCGAAACACATGCAGAGCAAAAGAAAAGATTCAAGATCTTCTACGAGTAGATAGAAGATTAGGGTTTGTGATATCCCATGTTAAATCACAATTTCAATTTCTCTTTCTTTTTTAATACTATCAATTTGCGCAGTTCACAATCTACCAAACAAACTATGTACGATTTTGAAGAACGTTCATGTAAATTAAGAGAATAATAATTAATGAAAGAACCTGTAACAACGTCGAGCTCGTATATGTTGCTGATTTGAGGGCCATGATTGAATGCTTGGCCACTAATTCCTGCGTTGGAGAGAGTACCACCCACGGAAAGGTACAAGTAATCTGTCCAAGATTTTGGTGCAAGTCCATACTTTAAGGTGGAACTCAATACATCTACCCATAACTCTCCACCCCACACATCCACGTACATGAATTTCTCAGAAACTCTCGGCGGAGCCACCTTCGTGGAGCCACTCATTTGAACCACAACCCCGTTTGCGGTCGTGGCCTGCCCTTTGATAGAATGCCCGTGTCCCCTAGCCGAGACTGTGAATCCCTGACCGGATTCATAAGCTGCTTTTATTAGCCGGGCCACGTCCTCAGCTGAACCCGGATGCAGAACGGCTAATGGCTCGGCGTTTTGCATGCCACCGAAGTCCCGTGAAGCCGCCCCCAGGTCGGCAGGCTCTACGCTCAGAACACCCTCGACTTCAAGGCGTAGAAGCTCCGTCGGATCCAAGGTTAATCCAACTGTCACGATTAATCGACAGATTGCAAACGCTAAAAGAAACCTGGTAGCCATGCTACGTGGTTTTCTTGTTATGTTTATATATGTAAATGTATAGAGACGAAAGAGAGAGATGAAGGATAAGGGATATGCGCACACCAGCGGAGGATATAGGACCTTGGTTATGGGGAAAGGGAAGAAAATCTTGTGGGCTAACGTAAGCCGGATTTCACTTTAAAGATTATGCACACAACATGGACAGATTCGTTTGCACTCTGCTTTTTACTTGTTCTGGTCACGTTATGGATCTCTCAAACGCTTTTTGCAGATTGATTCATTGGAACAGTGAGGAAGAGGGGGGTAGTGTGGGGGTGTGTGTCGAGGATAATAGTTGCAGGTTGTGTATTTATAGGACAAGGAGTTGGACATTCACGTGCGAGAGTTGTAAGGGAGTGGAGACACGTGTGAAGGAGTGGGGGCCACAGAAAAGAGTCAGCGAGTGGGGCCACATAGTGATATGCGAGATCTGTGTGGGGACGCCGGCATGGGAAAGGTCATGTGGGCCCAGAAACAGAACGACGTAGTAAGAGGGGAAGAGGACTTTTCCATGCATGTGCAAATATATATATTAGATTATTTATAAACATCTCGATAAATTGAACCTCATAACCTTTTAATTATAGTTAAAGTGACGATTAAGACCATCCTAGACTTCTTCAAAGTGTCAATAGAGCCTCACGTATCTTGACTTTTTGAAGCCAAATTTGTCCTTAGAATTGAAATGGATCTTATTCCAAAAAGACAGGGACGAATTCAGGATTGGATTTAAGATCGAGTTATAAAATTTCAAACCGAACTATTACGAGAAAAAAAAATTTACACATAAAAAACTAATTTTTTTACCAAAAAAAAAAAAAATACTTATAAAAAAAAGTTGTTGGGCCTGAGGAGGGGGGCTACAGCCCCGCCCCCCCCCCCAAAATCCGTTCCTGCAAGAAGATCACTATACTTTTTAACAAAAAAACAAAAACAAAAAAGCAGGGCTACTTCTATCATTCAGTGCTGAGTATGAAAATTAAAAAGTTAAGAACCAGCTCGTTCCTTTTTAAGATGGCAACCAATTTACTATCAAGACAATAAGATGGAGACAAATAAACAAATTTGACTTTTCATTCCATTGCTCAATTCTTGACTTTAGCGATTCACGTAAGGGCTACAAATGTTTTTGTCCAACTTGTAGTGTATCTGTGTATGTACTATTCAATGGAATACTTTCCACCTAAATTTAGGACTCTTAGGCATCAATTTCCTTCTCGTTCAACTAAACATGGCATCAACACAAGATGGAATTAGTTATAACTTTATCTTCTATGTACCATAGAAGTCCCTCCAAAGTTGGCAATTTTGAGGCAAATCCCAGAAGAGGTGTCTTCAAGCCAAACTAGTGGAAGCTAAACAGGAACTTTGCATTTAAAAACATGGGAGATCGCACTATTTATTTAGGAATTCAGGTAAAAAGATATGAAGGTGGGTTGTATTTGACTCAAAGGAGCTACATACAAACACGTTGGAAAAAATTGAAATGGAAAATATGAAAGTTCGTGTATTACTACAGAAAATATATTGGGCAGCAAGTGAATGCACACCAATGAGGACAAGACTATACATTATCTTCACATTCATCAAACTTAGCCAATGTCTATAATATTTGACAAATCGTCATTGGGAGGTAATCCAGAGGGTGTTTAGAAACTTAAAAAGAACAAGATATCAATTAGTCGGAAATAATTGTAACGCCCCGATAGTGGTCTATTTATGGATATTGATAACAATAAAATGTAGTCCACTACTATACTACATTGTAAGAAGTTAAACAACTCATTTAAGATTAAAAATATTTTTGACAACAGAGAGAACAAATATATATTGAGAGTTTTTCATTTTCTAATATCAGGATTCTTAGATGATAAAGGTCATTTGGTTCTTATTTGAAGCTTCGCCAAACATGGCCTTTTCCTATTTTATGAAATCACTCACAAGAGACCCTTAAAAAATAGAATTTTGTTTGATTAAAAAATAAGTATAACTTGAACTCAATACTTGGACGTAAGATAAATAAATTATACATAGTTTAGACATGTTTAGTATGAAAAATTTCTTCTCGAACTGATTCATGTAGTTTTCTTGCATAATTTGATCTCTAATGAAGTTGTGATGAATTTTGATGCATCAGATAATGAATTAAAATTAAGATATTGTCACTTAAACGAGTGAAGATCACAACTCACAGTGAGGACTTGATTTTTCGAGGTATATAGAGGTGGCTCAATTAATTTGGAGGTTTTAAGCAAAATGTGTTGATTTGTCTTTTCGAATACAATAATGTAGAAATTAATTGGAGCAAATGATCATTGAGAGAGAAATTTCTTTGATGATTGTTAATGTTTGTTGGTTATTTAGATATAATTATCGAAAATACTACTTTTGATTGTCATCAACAAACATAAATTGTTGGTATCACCAATGAAAGTTTATGATGATTCAGACGGGATTAGTGACAATACTATCGTTGATTGTCAACGTAAATTATTGATGTCACAATGAAAGTTTATTCTTTTTTTAATAAGTGATTGCGAAGATATTTCATCTGTAACTTTATTTAGTTATAAATTATCGACATATAAATTATTTTCTAAATGACAATGCTCGGTAGATATTTTGTAATTAATATTTAATTTTTATATTTTTATAATAGAAGAAAGTTTTCTTCGATAAATTAAACTTATCAAAATATTTATACTTTTAATATTACAAACAATTAAAATGTTTGTGATCGTCTATTAATTATTATTACTAACTGTTGATCATGTATTATTTTTATTTTATTATTATATTTTTAACATCATTTCTGGTTGCAAATTAAATTTGTGAAAATATTTTTTAAATTACGTCGAGTCAAATCAATTGTTTGATTGAACCAAAATTAACCAGTTGTATAAAAGTTTCAAAAATAAGTAAAATTATACTTGAATAGGAGAAATAGTCATATACTTAGATGATTAAAGAAAAATTAAAAATTAATTACTTTTTATCCGTTAATATTTTTGCATTCCATTATATTAATTTTGACGACAACACCAGCAAATAGCTTATAGATTTGTAGAACCACATGCATTTGTTATGTTGGCAATAGCGAGGCACAGTTTGGTGTCCTCTTTTATTCTTATTCTAATTTTCATATATTAAATTTTAAATTACTATATTTATCCTATAATTTTTTATATCACGATATTTAAGGGTAATTTCCCTTGTAAAAATTGGTGTCAGTTTTTCTGTGCTTTATAATTTGGTGAATATTGTCCAATTCTTTTGTATACATTTAACTATACAAAGATCGAGATAATTTCACGTATCTTATATGAATTTTTCCTAACAATATGTTCTCAAGGAAAAACTATACACAAGTTTTCAACCAATCAAAGGAAGAGCCACTTGCATAATATAATAATCAAGCATTATTATATGCAGCATAAAATATTTAATTAACTAGAATAAGATTGATTAGTCCATAGGATAAAATTTTATTTTTCTAGACATTACATGATACCTAATTGCCAAGTTTCCAAAAGGCATGGGGTAACTAATTTAAAGTTTTGTCCCCCCATTATTCACATGCTAGTCTTCATGATGAAACCCTAGTAAAACCAAACAACAATTGAAGGTGAATGTAGTATAATCACTATTTTTTTTCTATGTTGGTTTCATTCAAATTTTTGTGATGTAATACTAATATGGGAATGTTGCCAAAAGGAAGCACTAAAATAAGTCATGGAATAAAATGGAATATAATTACTTATGCTAAAAAAGATTGGCAATCATGTGGTATAAAATATGAGAATTGGTGGTGCCAGACGGGTGGGGTAGGTGTATTAAATAGAGCGAATTGCTCGCGTTCACCTGCGAAATGAGCAGAGTACAAGTCGGCTTGCTCAGTCGAAATGTGGCTCACGATTCGCCCCCACTTAACATCCCTAGATGTGGGTGTTTTAATAGCTGAAGAGGTTATCTTAACATTACCCCTCTCTCCAAATTTCGAAGTTAAATTAATTCCCCTTATTTTACATTTAATTAAATGGTTTCAGTTATATTGGAAAATATGCCTTGTAATAAACAAAGTTTTGTAGTTATAAGTTTCTATCAAGGATCCATCTTATTCAAGTTTCTTAAATAGGTCGGCAAGATTGCATACGTCTAAATTAATGATTCTCTCAAGTCGAACTCTTCTCAATATAACAAAGAAAAATAAAACATAATTGTTTTACCACTCATGCGACAAAATATTGTATATAATCTAGTAACATGTTAATCATAGCTAATATTCAAGATCACATAGATTTAACATTGTAAGAAGACTATTCGACAAAGATCGTCTCGATTTTTGTTCAATATATAATAACTACTGTATCATGTAAGATTCACTAATGGAATAACATTGGATTTATTTGGATTAGTTACGAAAAAAGAAGTATGTTAAACATCAAGTGGACAGCATCTATAATGTTATATTAATGTGTGGTACCACAAACATTGCATCATCAACAATAATTTGGATAGGCATAAATTCTGGTGCGTACAATTATTTCATTAAAATTTAACAATGATTAAGTTGAAATCATTCCAAAAGGAAACATTATGAATTCAGAAGATCGATTACAGGGCCCAACATAGATATGAAGGAATAATGAATCTCTCTTAAATGACCTGTCATCACATGATTTATATATTTGTTTAGGCTAGGTATAGGGATTAGAATAAAGAGCGGGTAAAATTCATGTTCGATAAGATGGATTGTAGCGGATATGTATGCAAAAAAAGTTATACAAAATCTTATAACTTCTCGTGTTAAGTATCGAATCTTTCTCGGTTGATGAGAAGATTGAGATAAAAAATAGTTAGTTTGTTCAAAAAGTCAGTTTCACTTCCACCTTACCCGAAAGGCTCATCAAAAACAATATACTTAGTCTACGTATGCCAAAGAATTTTGCTATTTGCACATAAAAAATAAAATAAAATAAAATCAGATGAAGTGAGAGAATGATTGGAGGAAAAAGATTGGATGAAAAGGCTGACTATGATTTAAATTGACAGATAATAGAGTGTCATATTATGTAAAGCCTTGATTTACAGGTAATATTGTCTTATACCAAAAAAATTTAATACTCGTTAATACACATCATTGTTTGAGTGTTGACTAAAAGACATTCTCATTGATGAAAAAAAATCCACGTCTTCAGGTTGTTGGAAATTGAGATCAATTCCTCAATTTTTACACCTGGTCCTTGTTATGAGAAAAAACTATGGCGCTA